TGTGTGTTGGGGGTGAGGGTGCAGACAAAATGGCGGCCAGGAGCTACAGAAAGGCCGTGTTGCTAGGCGACACATCTGCTGCGGTGTCCCATGGCGACGGCGGCGGGCGGGCGGGGGGAGGGGGGGGATGCTGATAAAGGAGAAAAAGCGGCGCAGACAAGAAGAGAAAAGCTCCGCCCCCCAAATCCCACCCGTGCGGACAAAATGGCTGCCAGGAGCTACAGAAAGGCCGTGTTGCTAGGCGACACATCTGCTGCGGTGTCCCATGGCGACGGCGGCGGGCGGGCGGGGGGAGGGGGGGGATGCTGATAAAGGAGAAAAAGCGGCGCAGACAAGAAGAGAAAAGCTCCGCCCCCCAAATCCCACCCAGCCGTCATAAAACCACAACACTGGACGGACGGAAGTGGACTTTATTGACACGGCGCCAAGGCGCGTTCACAACATGTCACCACGGGAACACAATCAGACGTCAACATGGAGTAGAAAAGGCGTAAAAAGGCTGCGAAAAAGCTCAACTGAAAAGTCCGGCGCGTCGAGGAAGAAGCTATCAAAACGTTTTGGGAGCGACTGCCGTCCTCGTGACGTCGGCCAAACACGCACACGACAACAAGCACCCAAAATGTCTTCCGCGTGCACCGGTGAAGAAATGCTCGGTGTCGTGTCGTGTCCTGGCAGGAATGTTCCTTTTTGTCCTCGTTTTTCGGGGGCCTTTCCGGACCGCCCCAAGATGCCACCGAAACCCAAAAGCAGTCATTGGAAGTCAAGGCAGCACCTTCAAGTGCTACATGTGGACTGCCCGAAGATCTTTCCGTGTCAGGATGGAGTGGGGGGGGGGGGTGTCAGGAGAATTCACAATCACCACGCACACAATATTGCTGAGCTGAATATTAACTCTTGACCACGGACGTTTCTTTTCGCCAGCTTGCATCCAAGCCTTTCCTGCCACTGACAAGCATGTTGGTGATTTTCAAGGGGGGGTGGGGGGGTCTGGCCCAGCCCATTGGGGAAATTCAAGCTTCGACTAACGCAAAATGACAAACGCACGCACGTCGGAGTCGAGATATTTACAACGTTTTGGAGTGCAAGATCAAACTAAAGCGCTTCATCCCCGCTGATCACGTCAATTAGGAGGGAGGGAAACACCCAAACATTGGAAGTCGCGCAAGTTCACGTGTTGTGTGAAACATCGTGGAAAACAAAACAAAACAAAACAAAAACCGCCACACAGCTCAGCCAAGCAACCGGATGCGTGGCTCGCCACGCGTCGCTTCGTCGTGTGTTGACATTTTGCCATCAAAAGCCCTTTCGGTCTCGATCTTTGTTTTTTTGTAATTGGAGGCGTCGCAAAAGCTCAAAATAAAATCAAAGTCACTCCTCTGCTTGCCAATTTTCTTTTGGCTCTTTTGTTTTGGGTGCCAATGTGCTGCTGCTAATTCGGAAAGAATGGAAAAGGCGGGAGATTTTTTTTGGGGGGGGGTGTTTCTACTGGGGCCTTTTTGTCCCTGTGAAATGAAATCATCTGCATCTTGAAAACTGAAAGCTGAGCTTGGAATGACCTTGACGAGTTTCGGGTTCATCATTTGCGCTCCACTTCAGCTTTGAGAGGGCAAGACGGACAATTTGGTGCATTTTAGCGCCGGCGGCAGTTGTCAGTCCAGGACAGAAAAATCACCCCACCAAACGGCTGAAACGATCTTCCGTTATTTCAACGAATCCTCCCGCGGTCGGCGGGTTTTCCGCTCGGGTCGAAGCCTGGTCAATTCAAAGAAAGCGGCGGCGTTGCGCCGGCGCCGTCTTGTGGGATTCAGAGGCGGTTGGAGAAAACCTTCTCGGGAGGGCTCAACTGTTGGCCTTGTTTTGGTGGGTTTTGTGTTTTTGGCGATCGGAGGCGGGACGAGGTCCTTTTCCCCGCGGCCAGCCGGGAGTTTGGGTGAACCGATGTCGGCGTCCTCAAGGGTCCCTCTCCTTCTTGACTTTGACGTCGCCCGCCAGGATGGTGGCGATCTCGCCCTGCATGAAGGCCCAGGGCACGCTGGAGCCCACCAGGGGGCACTTGTCCCCGCTGGGGCAGTACACCTCGGCGGCGGCGCCCTGGGCCTTGATGCTGTCTCGGGAGCACGGGAAGCAGAACTTGTGGTGGGCGGCGGACGGACACTGGACAAAGTGAGTGTCCTCCAGCCGCTCGTGACACAGCGTGCAGCACAGGGGGCCGCTGGCGGCCGCGTTGGTCGGCTCGGCGCCGCCCGCCGGCTCTCCGTTGCGGGAGGAGGGGGCCCTCTGGCCCCCCGCGGGGGAAGTCGGCCCGCCGCTAGAGTGGACCGAGTCTCTGTCCTTAGCGGGCGACGCCGCGGCCACGGGGGACTCGGCGGACTCGGTTGGGCTGGAGCGCCCGGGGGCGGGGCCCAACGGGTGGTGGTCGCCGAAGGAAAGTTTGAGCGCTTCGGCCTGGTTGGCGAGCCACTGCCGGTGGTGCTGCTCTTCGACGGGCTTCGGGCCGGGCTCGGCCGAATCCGGTTCCGGCGAGGACTTTCTCTTCCTGGAGCCGCCTCTGGACCCGCTCGGGGCCTGGGCCCGGGCGGAGGACGGCAGCGGCGGGTGGGCGCCGTCGAGGTGGGGCTGCGGCAGCATGTCCCCCCCCACGCAGTCCTTGAAGACCCGCAGAGGTTCCGGCAACAAATCGCCGAGCAGGCGCCAGTCGCCGGAACCGTGCTTCTTCTCGTACTCCAGGTACTTGAACCCAGAGGACAGACCTCGGCCCAAGTCCTTCATGCAGTCTTGGTACATCTGCTTCGCCACCCCCGAGGCGCTGGAGAACACGTTACCGGAACCGCTCGGGTATTCGATGAAGATCTTCAGCTCGTAGTCGACGCCGGGTTTGGACACGGCGTCGAAGGCGAACACGCGGCCAACCAGGCCGTGGTCCTTCTTGAAGCGGACCTCGAAGGGCGTACAACCGGACAGAGTGACCAGGGTGTTTCGAACCATCTTGGGCTTGTTGGCCCAGTCCTCCTGTCGGTTCCGAAGGCTTTCGCTCAGCTCGCTCAGCGTCTCTGCGTTCCTCTGCTTCTCTTTCATCTCCCGCTCCTGTTCCATCCCCGTCACGGACGACGGCCGCTTTGAGGCGGGCTCGCTCAAACACAGCGGGCTCGGCGCGGAGCCCTGCGGCGCGGCGCGGCTCGCCGTGCCCTGCGCGCCCGGTCCGTTCAGCGGCGTCTGGGGTAGCAGGTTGGGCGGCACGTTAATGAGTCCCGGAGCCGACGCCGGACCCCCGTGAGCCCTGCTCCTGGAGTTCGGGCTTTGACGGTTCAGCTCGGGCGGCCCCTCGTCCAATTTGAAGCCATTCGGACACCCGAGCCCGTTGGGCAGCCTACCTTGGTAGTCCGACCTGGCCCGGGCGTCTGCGCCGAGCACCGGGTACCGGTCCAAAGAGGTCTGCTGGGACTTTCCCGGTCCGTCCGCCGGATGCTGGCCCATGATTTCCTTCCCGCTTTTGGGCTCCTGGAGGCCGTGAGTCCGCCTCTGGTGCCGAGCGGTCTCGATGGCGAACTCGATGCGATCGGCGCCCTCGTAGTTGACGCAGCCGCGGCAGACGGGCTCGCTGAAGTCCCAGATCATGGCCCAGGACATGCGGGGCAGGTCGCAGAGGTAACAGGATTGTCTGCGCGCCAACGACGGCGCCGGCTGCGGGGGGGAGGACATGACCGGTCCCTGGGCCGCCTGCCTTCCTGCCTCGCCGCTGCCTCCGCCGAGCGCACGCAGAAAATATGAGACGAGAGCACAAAGTGCGGGAGAAATTCTTCCTTTTTTTTTTCTCCCCCCCCCCCACCAGCCTGCTGCAGAGAGGGAAGAGGGCGGGGCTGCACTGCGTTGAGGAATCCGACACGCAGGCACACTCTTGCACAAAGACACCCCCCCCCCCCAGCACCTGGTAGTGTGTGACATCACTCCGCTACCCCAACTGACATGTGTGGACAAAGCATTTGATGAGCGACAGAGAGAGAGAGACAGACACACACACACACACACACACACACACACACACACACACACACACACACACACACACACAAATGAGGAGTGGCTTACCGTCACCAAAATACATCAAAGCTGAACGTGCACGCAGACATTGGCACACAAACGCGTGCACAAAGACGTGCGTACAAGCACACAGGTGAACACACGTGCACACAAATACATCCTCACACCCAAAACTCCTAATGCGCAATTACGACGCACACATACCGCATGTACAAAAACACACCGGCCTTACGCCACATCTTCAGCACAACAACAGCGTGTGTGTGTGTGTGTGTGTGTGTGTGTGTGTGTGTGTGTGTGTGTGTGTGTGTGTGTGTAGATCTAGTCACGAGGGGGTGAACGCCACCAAGATGCCTTGTGGCAAAACATCAAAGCCGCAGACCTGATGCACACACAGACACATTTGCTCTAATGCACACAATGGAAATGGAGACGTGTTACTATGGAGACGTGTATGCAAATACGCAGATGCTGAATTTATAATCAGATGTGGATGCCCTTCAGAGGCCAAAACACACACACATATATACATATCTATATCTATTGATATATCTATAGATAGATGTATATAAAAAAAATACAGGCACACACCTGGTGTGGTCTGTGTGTGTTTCCATGGTAACCGGGTCAGACTCCACACTGGTCCTGGTTGGCGGGTTGATAACGGCCTCTAATTAAAAATATCACATCAACAAACATGAGTAAGAACAGCATGAAAGAACCTGAGGAAACCCCCCCACACCCCCCAAAAAAACAGTGAGCTGCCAAGAGACTAAAAATAGCAGCAGCTTTGTTTCCATGACAACCAGTCATCCCACGAAGGGAAAGGACTCCTGTCTGGTGTCCGTTGTCGTGGTAACACAAACACAAGTCATCTTAGAGACAACACTGCCGCCTTCTGGTCAGTTTACAGATCTCAACAACGTGACTGTGTGTGTGTGTGTGTGTGTGTGTGTGTGTGTGTGTGTGTGTGTGTGTGTGTGTGTGTGTGTGTGTGTGTGTGTGTGCATACCAGCAGGGTCCACCTGCTGAACAGCAGGCGGTGCCAGGTTCGAGGACGTGCAGCGTGCGACGATACCGAGAGCCGACTGCAGCAGCTGATTCTATGATGAGAGCAACGATGAAGGCAACGAGCTGCACGGGGCGAAATCCTGAGCAGCTCGCTCACCTGAAGCTCCAACTGGCGATGGTGGACCGCCTCCATTCTGCTGGCCCAGCCGTCTCTACGAGAGTGCACGCAGTCGGGTGGCAAACAAGTGACAAGCGAAAACAGCAGTCAAGTCGTGCGGGGTGTCCGCATGTACAGCAACACTTTCTGGGTGTATACCTGTCAATGGTGTCCACCTGCTGACACACACCCACATCCATGTGGCCCTATTCGCGCGCACACACACACACACACACACACACACACACACACACACACACACACACACACACACGTTTCATTTGTTGTTACACGTAGGTCACATGATATGAACCTGGCCAATTAAAGCTGCAGCTTTGACCTCTTTCATTGCACTTAAGTCGTCTCCTTGGTTGGAAGACAGCGACTGCGCCCCCTTGTGTCCCCCTGCCGCATTGCAGGAGCTGCTGCTGCTGCTGCTGCTGTTCCTCTGCTGTGGTTCTAACAGCTGAACTTTCACCTCTCGCCTCTGGGAGGCGCTATGAGAGCTGAGCAACACAGGAAATGCATCAACGAAAATATCAGAGCAACGAGCAAAACACGACAGTGCTCACCGCTGCTGGAGAGCCGCCAAAACGACCCCTCGAGACCCTGCCTCAAAATGGGAGGTCAGGAGGTCACGACCTGGAAGAAGAAAAATCAACGTTAGCAATTCACTTAAGAACAGTTGATGTAACTTAAGGCAGGGTCCCGGTCCGCATTTACCGCGGTAAGTGAGGGAACACTGCAAAGTTTCCATCCTGTATTGGCATAGTAGCGAACACTATGGCAGACACCTCCCCCTGCTGCACCACCTGAGTCATAACAACCGTAGTGGGCCGTGTGACGTCACACTCACCGTGTTGCGAGTCAGCCAGAGTGCGACGAGGAGCTGCGCCGTGCGATTTGCGTCCGAGTTTCGCGCGTCCGAAGCTTCGCTGGTGCTCGCCGCTCACCTTCTGGATCGTCAAACGGACCGGGGTAGCACCCGGCCCAGTGTCAGGACAAGTCTTGGTCGAGAACCGAGTCCGGGTCACGTCCACGCGTGACGACAACACGCTCATCGCCGACTCGATTTACGATACGGCTAGCTTCCGCTCGCCCTACTTTAAAGTTCCCGCTCAAAGTGTCAGACTCAGTTGTGGCACGACGATCGACTTTGGAAAACCCACATTCATTTGGACAAAGTTACGCTAGTGGAGTTTTAAAGCGTGTCGGGGAGTGGAAAGCGGTAGCTGGGATGAGGATGGTGACGAAAAAAGTGCGAAAGCGTCCAAAGTGGTTGAGCGGTGTGTTGCCACGAACTGTACTTCCGACTTCCGCTCCAAGAAGCAGGATGTCACACTATTAGTGTGACATTCTGTTAATTATAGTGACTATAATCAACACCGGTGACCTCAAAAGAATCCCAAAATTTAACACAGGGACCTACTACAACTGTGATGTATTTTTACAAGTTCAAAGTATTTGGAGAACATGTTGACCATGTTTTATTCGAACACGCAGTGACACTTAAGAACGGAACCTTTGTAGTGTTACAATTTTAGGACCCGGATGATAATTTCGATCGGACACAATGTGCCGTTGAGGCGAAGAACGACAACACAAACTTTTGAGACACTCTCTAGTGAGATCAACGCGTTTCAGATAATGGATGGATAATTATGTTGGATGTCTAGAATCGATTATTACCCAAATTGCCCAAATAACACGTTTCCACCTTCCTGTACATTTTATTTGTTTTTTAAGGTTATTGAGGGACTCACACTTCCGGTCCGTCCTTACAGTCCGCTTGGAGCGCTTCACGGCACACTCCACTAGGTGAGGGACGGAAACAAAGTGGTGGCGTCCTAGAAAACTAGAATACAGAACATCGGCGTAGTTGCATGTATTATTTTTAGAGGACGTGATCTGAATAAATTATCAGGAGCTATTTAAAAAGGAAGCTAAATGGACTTAGCTAGCTTTTAGCCTCGTTAGCCACAACGCTCGTGCTTGTTTGTTGTCATTACCCAGTCGACAGAATAAACATCTTTCCAATTATAATGACAACGGCGATAATAAACACTTCTTATTCTTGTGGAGGTCGTGAGAAGAGCTCTCACTGGTGGTTCCTCTCCCGCCGTCCGACATGGCGGTTCAGGTGTCCGAGTCAGACCAGATCAAACAGGTCAACACACACCTCCCGTTTGTGAGCCAAATTGACGCGATTACAGGGTTTTGCTAACGTTGTGACTACATTTCCCGTCTCAGTTCAAGGAGTTCCTCGGGACGTACAACAAGCTGACGGAGAATTGCTTCATGGACTGCATCAAAGACTTCACCAGCCGGGAGGTCCGGCCCGAGGAGGTAGGGGCCGGTCAGGATGCGGTTCTACCGTTGGCACCTGATTGTCCACGTCATCATCTTGTCCATGTTGTGGGTCCGCAGTCGACGTGCTCCGAGTCATGTCTCCAGAAGTACCTGAAGATGACCCAGCGGATTTCCATGCGCTTCCAGGAGTACCACATCCAGCAGAACGAGGCCCTGGCTGCCAAAGCTGGTCTGCTGGCGCAACCCAGATGAGACGGATGCCACACACTCAAAGGGTCCCCCATGTGCTTGTTTTATAATGTGTAAGATCAATAAAACCATAATGTCATATTGTGTCCTCGCATGAAGCCCCTGAACACACCCGCAGGCTCTCAAGTGTTCAGGTATACTTTGTCACAATCTGACACACCCCTTGACACTCTCACACACAGCTTTCAGAAAACCCTCTTACACTCCCTGTTGCGCACACTCATGCACACGCGCACAAAGAAAATTGATATTTAAGAACTTTATTGGAAATGGGCGGTGCTGCATCCAGGAAGTGTTTTCTTGGCAGCTGACAGAAGCGTACAAAGTCTTCTCTTAAAAATATTATAAATCATTCTTTACATTTTCACTTTTCATCTTATGTACACAAAAGTCCACGAGCAAAACAGGAAATGGCAAGTGGAGCGGAAACGAGAAGAAGCGAGCGGGCCACAAAATATCTGTCAAGTTGAAGCGAGGAAGAGGTTTTTTTTTTTTTTTTGTCATCGGTCAGAAATAAATGCAATCAAAGTCCTCATTTTTAACTCAAAACTTCCTCACTGCAACGCAACACAAAAACAAAACACCTTTATTTATCCAACGTTTTCCTTTTTTTCTTACTAAAATAGAAGCTTTAATTTTATAGAAAAAGTTACAAAAAAAAACATTTTTTTTTTTTACTGGACTTCAAAATCTTGCGTCAAAGAAATCATTTGCATAAGCAGCTGCTTTGGCTCCTCCCCCTGAACTGTGACCTCTCCCTCCAAAAGGGCTCAGACAAATCCCAGGTGAGCTGAGAGGGGGAAAAGGAAGGAAGTGGATGCCGACAGTCAAGTAAAAAAAAAAAAAAATTAATAATAATAATAATAATAATAAATAAAAGAGATGTGTCCAGAAGTGAAGAATTAAAAAAAGTGAACAAATAAGGACCAGAAGTAGGAAGTTGACAGAGTGGGTGGAAGTGAGTAAAGAAAGGCAGGAGGTTTGAGGGGGAGGAGGTGGGGGGGAAATGCTCTGTGGCTGCTGAAGTGTTTCACAGCAAGTCAGTCCTTTTCTGTGGTCCGTCGTGTCCCCGCTGCATCTGAGCATCAGTCAGTCAGTTGGGCGGCGTCTGTCCGTCCGTCCGTCCGTCCCGGGCGGGGGGAACGTATCATCACCTGCACTCCACGGCCAGGGTGCTCTGAGCGGGCGAGGCAGAGGACGGACTCATCGCCGCGTCCGAGGAACCCGAGGACGTGGACGCCGTGGTGTTGGACACTGACGGGGAATGACAAGAAGGGCTTAGAGGGCACTTGCGCGTGAGGGCCGCTGCCCCCGGGGCGCTTTGCTACTCCTTACCTTCCCGCTCCTTCTTTTTTAAGCGCTTCCTGCGTCTGTCGATGGACGCCACCTCGGACTTGAGGCTCATGTAGTATTTCCTGATCTCCTGCAGTTTTTCCTGCAGGAAGGAGATCCTCTCGCTGCTCGACATGCTGTCCAGGGAGTCTGACCGGGAGAATGCGCAGCGTCAAGCGTGCAAAGGCCACAGCCGCCCGCCGTTTTCTTGTTGTCCGAGCATCAAAGCACGTGTGCACATCCGGTTGCGTGTGCGTTACCGAGCTGGAAGGTCCACTTGTTGGCGCGCTGCGGGGAGGTGGCGCTATGTTTCTCTTTGGCGTGCGGCGACCCGGCGCCAGGACAGCGAGACTTGTTGGACTTTGGCAAAGACGAAAGACGTGACTGGTCCTCGCTGTCGCTGCTGTGACCTGATGGCAGGAAAAGGGGAGGAGTCATGTCAGGACGTGACATCAACGGTATGAGTGGGGATGGGAGGAAGAAGGATGAGCCGGGGCAAGGACGGACGGGTGGCCCTCACCTGTGCCGTTCTTGGCGCTTCCGCTGGTGCGCTTGTGGTTGCGTTTCTGTTTCTTGGAGGCGGGGCTCACCTGACACTGCGACAGACGCTTCTGACCTGAGGGGTGAACGTGGACAAAGGTTAGCGGACATTCGCGTCACGGGAGCGTGCCCGGGTGGCGTGCGACACGACCTCGGGCCTCCTGCGACACGTCGACATCCGGACCGGACTGGGCGTCGGCCTCCTTCTCTCCGCCTGCCGCCGCCGTCTCGGGGTTGAGACGGGCCGGGCCGAGCTCCTCGGGACAGGGGGGGCTGGCGTCAAGGAGGAAGGGGCTGTGTGGCGACGGCGGCGACCGGGGGGGTTGCACCCTGGCGAGGAGGAGGAGGGGCTCCGAGGAAGAGGTGGGCTTGTCCTTGTCATCGGGGTCGTCCAGGTCTACCTCGTAGCAAAGTAATGCCTCGGCGCCCATTTGCGGCTCCTCGCTGGGGACGGGGCCGAGGGCCTCCTGGGCCTGGGGCGGAGTCCCCGGCTCCTCCGCAGGCCGTTCCTTGGAGTCCTCGTCGACCCGTCCTTGCACCTCGTCCGCCCTCACTGCTCTGTGGCTCCTCCGTTCCGCCTCGGCGCCGCGCAGCGGGGACGGGAGGGACTTGGGCGACACGCCGGCACCGACCTTGGCGGGGCTCGCTGAAGACTTTGGGGAGGCGGGCGTAACCTCTTCTTGCTTCCTTTCAGGGTGGAGCTTCAGCTCCGCTTTTTCCTCTTCCTCCTCACTGGCGGAGTCGGTGTCCGACGGCGCGACCGCCGGAGGTTCCAGGTGGAGGCGCGGTGCGGGGAGGCAGTGGAGGACCACCATCGGTTCATCCGGCCTTTTCAGGAGACTTCGAGGAGTCGGCGGAGGAGGGGGCGGAGGAGGCTCGGGACCGGTGGCGGTGGGGGGGCTGGAGATTTTCGGCAAAGGTTCGCCGCGGTGAACTTTGAGCGCGGGCGGCGACGAAGGCGGCGTCTTGAGGTTTTCCGACGGCGCAGGAGGAGCGTCGTCCCGCGGCTCGGCGTGCTGATCGGATGCCGCGCCCGGGGAAGAGGCGGGGCACACTTTCTCCATCTCGGCGACGATTGCCCGCTCATCCGTCAGCTCGTCCTTCACTTTGAGAGCTTCCTCTGCGGCGTCCCCCTCGCCTTCGGAGGGACTCGCGACCTGAGCGGCGTCCTC